GGAAGGGCCTTGCTGTGCTGCCCTTGTTCTCCTTTCAGGGCTAATGTGCTGATTAGAAGCAAAGTGTTATGGCTCCTGGATAAGGAAGGGCTGTTACTGAGATCTTTTAGGGTAAGTCATTACAGGATGCCTCTGAACTTTGGGAAATGGAGAAAGGTGTGCAAGAGAGGAGCTGAGTACTATGAAGTGGCAGGTCACATTCTTGTTCCTCACAACAACCCAGGGAGATGGAGGTATTACTTTTTTCACACACTTAGCTCCTGGAGCTCAGAGACCCTGGTCTGCTCTCTCAGCTGGAGCTGGAGCTGGATGCTGCAGTGATGCCCCTGATGGGGGAGAAAAGAGGTAAAAGAGGTGGCTAGATAGGACAGAGTGGGAGCTCCATGATCAGAAGAACTTTAAGTCAAGAGGAAAATGAACATTTGAGAGAGTGCACCTAGGAGGCTAGTTGCAAGAAGACAGGATGAAAGACGTCTTGAGGTCAGGCATGGTGGTGCACACCTGTAATCTCTGTGGCTTGAGAGGCTGAGGCAGCATGATCATGAGTTCAAAGTCAGCCTCAGCAACTTAGTGAGACTCTACTCAAAGTAAGTAAGTAAGTAAATAAATAAATAAATAAAAAATAAAAAGCGTTGGTCATGTGGCTCAGCACGCGCGCGCGCGCGCACACACACACACACACACACACACAAAGGATGTCTTGAAACTGGAAGCTTAGAGAACAATCAGGCCAACACAACCATGTACAGATGAGGAACGTGGGGTCCAGATAGAGAAGCAGGGCAAAAGCAGGTCTGGAAATCAGTTTTCCCTGAGTGCTTATTTTGGAGCTGCATTTCTGGGTGGTGGCTGAGTGCCAGAGGGGTGGTCTATGGACAGCCCAGAGTTGAAAAACGAACAGGATGTCTTTGGGGATATCAGAGTCCCTAGAGAACTGGGGATAAGAACAAACTGAATTATTTTGGTAATTTGCCTCTGGAAAGCTCACATTGTGACACATTTTCCTGTCACAAAAATTACTCTAATTTTCAGCTTGCTACTAAAAACAACAGTCAGGTGTGGCAGTGGCTAACTGTAGTCTTAGCTATTTGCAGATCAGACCGTTTGAGCCCAGGAATTTTGAGGACAGTCTAATAAACAGCTATGATGGTGCACACCTGTAATCCCAGTGACGGCAGAGGCTGAGGCAGGAGAATTGCAAGTTTGAGGCCAGCCTCAGCAACTTAGAGAGTCCTGAAGCATCTTAGTGAGGCTCTGTCTCAAAATAAAAAAATAAAAAGGGTTAGGAGTGTGGCTCAGGTGAAGTACTCTTGGGTTCAATTCCCAGTATAAATAAACAAGGGGGGGCCTGGGGTTATGGCTCAGTGGTAGAGTGCTTTCCTAGCCTGTGTGAGGCCCTGGGTTTGATTTTCAGCACTACATATAAATAAATAAAGATCCACTGACAACAAAAAAATATTAAAAAAAAAAAAGAGAAGGAGGAAGGAAATTTTGACCTTCAGTCTTGCCATCCCTGCATGGCTGGTTCTCTTCCTGGCTACTTTTCTAGTCTAGCTTTCAGATGAATCTTTCCAAAAGCAAGCCATCACCCTACTCACGCTCTCAGAGTCTCCCAGGTTGACTGAATCACATCCAGATACTGATTTGTTTTCAAGGTCTTCCTAGTCTGCGCAGTTTGGCTTGTCAGCCTCTTATTCTGCCTCTGTTCCTCCAAAGTCTCTTTGCTCATTAGCAGCTTCTCATATAGGACTGGCATTTTCATGTTGCCCTGTTTTATTCTAATGGAAAACCCTTTTCCTACTTTCCCTCTTCCTCTGCCTTCAAAAGCTTATCTTTCAGGCCCAGTTCCTAGGAATCCTCCCCTCTGTGACTCTCTCCTTGAACCCCCACTGCCATCCATCCCAGCAGAAATAATCACTTTCTCTTCCCTGCTCCCACAGCAAGTCTGTTATTTCTCTACCATACTAGTGACTGAAGTCTGAAATGAACTATACATTGTTGTGTAGGAATGTCTTTCCTTCTCCATGTCTTATTAGGAAACATTTAAAATATACGCAAAAATGAAAGAATTTTACAGTTTAACACCCATAACTCTAACACTTTATTTGTACTTTTAACACTTTATCCTACTTGTTTAAGAACTTTTTTGTACTCATGTCAATTTATTACTATACTTTGAAAAAAAATTTGTTCTCATTAGTTATATCCTACTAGTTTTACCACATCTCTAACCATCATTCCATGCCTCTATCCATCTATAATTAGATGGATAAACACCCACACATATAAACACATTTATTTTTTGTGGTAGTGAGGGTTGAATCCAGGGGACTTCTACCACTAAACTACATTCCTAGTTCTCCTTTTTATTCTTGACACAGGGTCTTGCTGAGTTGCCCAGGTTGGCCTTGAATTTCCAGTCCTCTGCTTCAGCTTCCCGTGTTACTGGGATTGCATACCTGCACCATCATAGCCAGCACACTGAACTATTTAGGAGTAAAAGTCTAATGTATGTGAATGAAACTCCAACGGCTCAAAATTTTTGTATATGGAATATGCATAATTAAGGAAATGGGCAAAATGATAAAAATAGGTGAACACATAAAGGATACATGCAAGTTCTACATACTATTTTTATTCTTACAACTTTTCAGTAAGTTTGAAATTATTTCCAAATAGAAAGTTTAAAAAATGCTCCCCTGCAAAGTTCCCTGCATCTTAATTGAGTCAGTGTGGACTGTGCCCGCAGGAATTCCATGAGTATGTGCAGCTCTTTCTTAAATATAAGTTAGCTTGCCCAACTTGCCAAATATTTGCTTCTAAGCTAAGTGAAAGTGCCAGGAACTAAGGCAAGCATCTTTTAATTTTCATCTCTTCTCAGAAAATTTTCCCTAGAGCTAGATCTCACGAGGCTTAATTGAATTGGCAAGAGTTGCTTTTCAGCTTTTAAGTACACTGTGATGAGCTCTGAACAAAATATCTGAGATCTGGGACCTGCCTTCCTTTCTTCTGGATCTGCTGCATGACATAGGCCTTCTTAAAGGTAAAGGAGCAACTGGAGTAGAGGTCATAAACTGGCAAATCAAGAGCTGCCAGTCCACATATGCATTTGGCCTGCACAGTATTATTATTTTTTAACAATGCTCGATTAGCTCCATTAGCTCTTGACACTCAACACACAGGACAGTTCATGTAAAAATGTGGCTGTCTTCTCTGACCACATTGTGTACATTTTCCTAGCAACTGACTAGAGATGGGCATGTACCCTTCTGCTCCAGAGTCTTGACCCCATCCTTTAATATGACCAATGGACTTTGCTCACTTACAAATTCTGCTTGGTCTTTGGACTGGAAGATCTCCAAGGGTCTTCCAGTTCATGCCATTTCTGACCATGTTTCATCTCTTTAGTGACCTCAGATGCTGAACAAGTGATTGGATGGAGCTAAGTGAAGTGCAGAAGCAATAACAGCCTATATGAGAGCTGTCTTTTAAGTACACTGACCTAGGTAGGGTTGCATTCTGGCTTAAAATGCTGAAAGCCCATGGTGATATGAAGGGGGTGTGACAAATAAGAGTCAAAATTGGTAAGAAACTATAAGAATTTATTGGAAATGGGGCATTCAGAATGGATGATAGAACTAGAGGAAAGCCAGGGGGCTGCTGAGCATGCCAAGTGCCTGGAACTGAGGGCATCACTGTGAGTAATCTTGGAGTCACACCTGACAGAAGTTATGGTTTATGGTTAGGAAGTAAATCCTAGAATAAAAAAGGAAAGAAAAAACAACAACAAAAAAATCAAGGTGTGGTGGAAAGAGCACTGAGCAAGGATCAAAGGATGTGGCCTCTAGTTCCGGATCTATCACTTAATAATTGTGTGATCTTGGGCACATCATTCCAAAATTCCTGAAGCCATTTCCTCAGTTTAATCTGGGGCACATCACTCCACATTCCTCAACCCATTTCCTCAACTTCAAAAGTGGATAATGCTAGCCCCGCCTATCTCAGATTTAGGGAAAAGCTAACTTGGCCTTCCAGAGAGTAAAGCACTTAGCAACTGGGGAAGTAGTATCACAAGATAAGATGAAATTCAGGAATAGTTTCAGAATACCAGGGCTTGAACGGCCCTTTGAGGACCCGCAATCCTCTCATTTTGGGGTCCCAAAGAGAGAAATGACATAGGAAGGTTAGGGGCAGAGGTGAGCACAAAGATTCATTATTTAAAAAGCAGACCCCCCTCCCCCACCCCCTCTGCTGCTTCTAGGAGTAGATAAGTGAACCTAAGTCCAAGGTCAGCCTGGGCAATTTAAGAGACCTCGTTTCAAAAGAAAAAAAAAAAATCGGGCGGGGAGGGTAGGGTGTGGTTCAATGGTAGAACGCTTGCTTAGCATGCGCAAGACCCTGGGTTCAATCCTCAATACTGAAAAAAAATATTAACTTTGTTATTCTTTTTCTGTACTGTCTCAGAAATGCTGTGTGTTCTATCTACACTTACCGCACATCTCAGTTTGGACCAGCCACGTTTCAAGGGCGGCTCGTGGCAGCGACCCCTGGTGCGGCCCCAGCCGCCTGGTCCCCTGGCTCCTCCCAGCGAGCAGCTGCGCCAGGTTACATCACAGAGCCGCAGGCGGCCTGAGAGCAGCCCGGCCCGTGGCCCCGCGCTCCCACCCTCCCCGCTCCAGACGCCCAAGCTCTGAAGGGAATCAGCCTTACAGAACAGCGGGGGCAGCGGGTCAATCCGCTGTGCGCCCGGCTTCCGCGAGCTGGAGCGCAGCGGTCCACACTCCACAAGCCTTGCCCCCAACGGCCGGCGCTCGCAGCGCGTCCGGGAGCGGTCAAAGAGCCTAGGCCAGCTGCCATTGGCTCGCGGCGGTCCTCAGCCCGCCCTAGCCCCGCGCCTATTGGCCTCGACGGCGGCGCCCGCTGGGTAGGGGCGGTGCTCTGCCCTCGCGCCGGGCCTCAAGAGGGCGGCGAGGAAGCGGCGCCTCCCTGCGCCCCGCCCCTCGGCTCGCTCTTCGGCTCCGGCTGCTCTGGCCCTTACCCGGCTCCTCACGGCTCCCTCCAGCTCCGGCGCGGCGGCGGCGGCGGGTAGGTCAGACGTAGGCGGCCGATCCGAGGGCCGCTTTTCCACTGTCCCGGGGCTGCCCGAGCCTGCCCCGCGTCCACTTAGACCCCGCAGGGCTGCCTTGGGCGGGGAAGGGCGGTGGCCCGAGCTCGCCGGACGTGGGGCGACCGGGAGGGGCCGGGCGGGGCCTGCGGGCGTGACCTCGCCGTCTTCGAGGCGCGGCCCCGGGGCTGTGTGTCACGGCGGGTTCAGGTCCCGCGTGGGGTCGTGGGTGGTGAAGCTGGTGGCCGCCTCATTTTTCTCCGGGTGTGGTGAGCTCAGAGGCAAGGGGCAGCTTCAGCCTGGGGCCTGGGTGCAGCTCGGCATGTGGGGGACTCAAGGGTTGTTTCCTGAGGCATTAGGGGGTCAGTTGACGTGGGACTGAGGCGAGTCTTGGAGAGTGTTCTGTCGGGGGTTGTGGGTGGGGCTGAGAGTTGTCTAGAGAACTGGGCCCGAGCCGCGGCTCTTACTGTGTGCGTGTGGGCCCTGGCAGTTGGACTAAAGTCCTATGGCTGCGGGAATGGGAAGGGATGGCATTAAGAGAGGGTGGGGACAGGGACTAGAGAAGGAGCAGTTGGAGCAGAGATTATGGTTTAGCACATGAAACAGGTTCTTCATTGGTATGTTGGGTTAGCTCAGTTTTATTGAAATGGTCCTTTGGGTCGTTCGGAGTGGGGTTTTACCTTCAGAAACGTGTAGATTAAATGCATTTGCTGTTTTGGGTAGCTAATCACCTTAGGTTTGTGTTTTAGGACCCGTACTCAGGGTGGAGCATGTACTCCTCGGAAAGATTAGTGTTACCCAGCTTTCTATTGGAAAACCCCTTTTCTCCTTTTCCTCTGGTCCAGTTACAGTATTGCTCCCCTGGGCCTCTCAATTCTCTCTCCCTGGCTGCATAACATTGCAGTGTTTCTTGCTCTCTCTCTCCCGCCCATTTCCCTGCTGCTGCGCTTTTGGCAACTGCCCCTGCTCTTTCCCAGGGATGGTTGTGGCATTGCATCAGGGGATATTTGTGCTTGTAATTTGCTCACTCAGCCCTGGAGGAGGGAGAATAGTGTTTTGCAGAGACGGGAGGGGGTGCCATCAGCTTGGCTGGGTAGGCAGAGAAATGGGTGTGGTGAGGGGGGAATACAACTGCTCTGGGCCTATAGAGTGACATTGCCCAGTCCTCAACGCAGAGATTCAAAGACCAGCAAAAGCAGCAGCTATTTTTATAAATCAATCCTGAATCCAAGCTGAGCACATGGATTTAGAGTGAACAGTTGTCATGTTCTAACTATTGTGGGGTATTACTATTTGGTAGACAACATTAGAGTTGCTAAGAAGAGACTCCATCTGTACAACGCAGTGTAGGCATTTTATTTGCAACTTTTTAAAAAATATTTTTTGTTTAGTTGTTGATAGACCTTTATTTTATTTATATGCAGTGCTGAGAATCAAACTCAGTGCCTCAGAAATGCCAGGCAAGTGCTCTCACACTGAGCCACAGGCCCAGCCCCTACTTGCAACTTTTTTTTTTTTTTAGTTTAATTTTATTTATTTTCAGTACTGGGGATTGAACCCAGAGGAGTTTTACCACTGAGCTACATCACCAGTCCTTTTTATTTTTTTGAGACAGGGTTTCATTAAGTTACTGAGGGCCTCGATAAGTGCTAATGCTGACCTGGAACTAGGGATCTTTTGTCTCAGCCTCCCAAGTCTGCACTTATTTGCAACTTTTTAACTTTGCTTTTCTCTACTCCTTACAGTGGGAATCTCTTCAGGGGATGTCGCTTAAATTGATGGAGTTTAATTGTCTCTACTACATTTCATATGAAATGTTTAACCTCAGTTATACTCTTCCTTTAAAATTTAACTTTAAAATAATAATTAGAGCACTTACCATCTCCCATGAGCTAGTTTTATTATTTATTTTCAGATGAAGAATGAGACAGGAATTTGAAGTTACAGATAGTAAAATGACATTTAAACCATCATCTAGGTCTTTCTGACCTCCATAAAGTAGTTTAGAAACTTCAGAATTTTGGTCCACACAGCATGATTTCAAGTGCTTGGGAGTATATTAATGCAAAGTAAACTCACTAGAGACTGATAAACCAGATGCCAGTTTATTTATGTCAGAAGTATTGGGTGTCATGTACACAGTTGAATTTAATTACCCACTGACCAAGACACCTTCATTGTTCCTGGCAGCTTAATCAGTAATAAGAAGGCAGTTGATTGTAAAATTAGAATGAGGGCACTGAATATTCTTAAGGGATTTTTTATTTTATTTTATTTTTTGGTACTAGGGTTGAACTCAGAGGCACTTGGCCACTGAGCCACATCCCCAGCTCTATTTTGTATTTTATTTAGAGACTGGGGTTGCTTAGGGCCTCACAGTTGCTGAGGCTGGCTTTTGAACCTGAGATCCTCCTGCCTCAGCCTCCCAAACCACAGAGATTACAGGCGTGCCCCACCACGCCTAGTTTAAGGGATGTTTTAATCAAGTTCCAGAAGCCTAGAGAGTTTCCCTTTTCCCATTGTAAGAACCCATGAACTAAAGTTGGAAAGAGCTGGGGTGTGTTTAAATACATTTCCCACTCTGCTTGTTTGGTTGGTTTTGGTCATCTCATATATTTGTCAGCATCCCTGTGTTAAAATTCTTAAAAGTGGGCTGGGGTTGTGGCTTGGTGGTAGAGCATTTGCCTAGATGTGTGAGGCATTGGGTTTGATTCTCAGCACCACATATAAATAAACAAAATAAAAGTTCATTGACAACTAAAAAAATATTTTAAAAATTCTCAAATATACAAATAAAGTTGCTTATTAAAAAGTCATTTCCCATTGTTTATTGACACTGAAGGAAACACCTGGATTTTCTTTCTTTTCATTTTTTAAAACAGTATTTATTCTTAAGTTTTAGGTGGACCCAATATCTTTATTTCACATTTATGTGGTGCTGAGGATTGAACCCAGTGCCTTGTGGATGCTAGGTGAGCGCTCTACCACTGAGCCACAACCCCAGCCCTCTTTTCATTTTTTTTTTTTTCTTCTTCTTTATTTCTTCTTTAAAGACCCTGAGTTGCCCATGCTGATCTGGTTTGTAGCCAAGTGATCCTCTGTTCAGCCTCCCCAAAAATTGGGACGATAGGCACATACCATTATAGGCTTTGAATTTTCTTTTTTCTTGTCTAGATGACTTAACTTTAGTCAGAGAGTTGGTTTTTCCTGATCTCAGTGCCTTGGTCTTTTTCCTAATCTTGTTTCTAAATTTGGTAATCCATCCATGGACTATAAGTTCTTGCTATTGACACTTCAAAAAATTTTTTAATGTATTTTTTTGAATTTATTTTTATAAATTAAACTAAGGATTGAACCCAGTACCTCATGCATGCAAGGTAAACACTCTACCACTGAGCTACAGCCCCAGCCCCTACACTTCAAGTTTTTGACATTATTTTTTCTCCTCCTCCTCCTCCTCCTCCTTTTTTTTTTTTTTTTAACATTAAACATGAATAGTTCATGTGTTTGTAGGGTTGAAACAGTTTTCCTTAGAGGAACATTTTTGACCCAATGGAAAGTATGTTGGTGGTTCATTTGATTTTTGTCAATTTGAGAGAGAAACCAAGAAAATACCAGTTCTCACTGTCTTTTTTTTTTTCCATGTTGAACTATTGAACACAGGGCTTCATATGTGTTCAGGACACCTTTCACCATTGTACCAGTGAACTACACCCTCCAGCTTGATATGCCCTATTTTTTATTGGTATTGGGCCAAGGCACTATACCTAGTCCTTTTTAGTTTTTTGAGACAGAGTCTCCCTAAGTCCTGTCTTGGCTAAGTTGCTGAGGCTGGTCTCAAACATGTGAGCCTCCTGCCTCAGCCTTTTGAGTTACTGAGATTATAGGCACATGCACCACCTTGCCAGGCCTGGTGTGCTCTTATTGTCACATTAAATCTGGGAATACCAGATAACTAACATGATTCATTACTGACATAACTTTGATGAGTTAAAGTGATGTTGCCTTTATTTCTCAGAAGGGAAAACAAGTCCTCAAGACATATGTACTCCAGGGGAAAAGAATTAATCTCAAGAGAAGGGTATCCAGGAATTTGTGAGCATATTTAAAAATCATTATAGTGTTTTATAATACTTATAGGGTAGCTGGGTGTGGTGGCACATAACTGTAATCTCAGTGTCTAGGGAGGCTGAGGTAAAGAGGATTGCAAGTTCAAAGCCAGCCTCTGCAGTTTACTCAGGCCCTAAGCAACTTAGTGAGACCCTGTCTCAAAATAAAAAATAAAAAGGACTGGGGATATGACTCAGTGGTTAAGCACCCCTGGGTTCAATCCCAAGTATTAAACCAAACAAACAAAACTAAACAAACAAAACACCCCCCACAACTCTTATGAGAAGATGCTTACAAGGCTATAACTAACTAAACAATAACTAAACAATAAATATTTAAAAAAAAAAAAAAGAAAGAAAAAAAATTTTTTAATATTTATTTTTTAGTTTTCGGCGGACACAACATCTTTGTTTGTATGTGGTGCTGAGGATCGAACCCTGGCCGCACGCATGGCAGGCAAGCGCGCTACAGCTTGAGCCACATCCCCAGCCCCAAAGTGCCTTTATTTTTATGTGGTGTTGAGGATGGAACCCTGATCCCGCCCGTGCTAGGCGAGGGCTCTACTGCTGAGCCACAATCCCAGCCCCCCATCCATTTCTTTATCCATCAAATCACTTATATCAACATGGACTCATTAATTTTTTTTTTTGGTACCAGGGATTGAACTCTGAGGGGTACTCTACTGAGCCAGCTCTGTTTTGCTTAGTGCCTCACATTTGCCGAACTCTCCATCCTTCTGCCTCAGCCTCTCCAGCCGCTGGGATTACAGGTGTACGCCACAGGAGTGTGCCTGGCCTTGTGAAGTTTTTTTTTTTTTTCTTTTCTTTTTCAAGTGCTGGGGTTTGAACTCAGGGCCTTGTGCATGTGAGGC